CTGACATGATGTGGATTCTCACATGCACCTCTCTTGACTAAGTCCTGGAAAACATCACGGCTGGATTGTATGTGTCAAAACGACCTAGTACAGAGAGACAGCTCTCAGATATAACGTACAGACTATAAAAGCAGCTGATTATGCTTAGAATAGCCAAGCTGTTTACCCTTTCTACTATTAAACAGTATAAACAATCAAAGAGAACAAACCAAAATACACCCAAGGATTAAAAAAAATCAGTCTGGTTATATAAAGAGCTGTTCATAGCAAATTGATTAAGAGGCTTTTTCTTTATTTCCAGTTGAAAATATACAGAGGTGGGTGCTGATATCAATTCACTTTGGCAGAACAGGTTCAGCATATAACAGGTGAGCAAAAAGCTCAGGAATCCTTTGAGTACTCAATACTTTTCTTCTGCTCTTGGCTCTGCATTATTTCAAAGAGAGTGTCAATGAGAGCTGTGAGCATCTACTGTTTAAACTTTACGTTTATGAGGGGCAGCCAATCACAAGGAATTTGGCTTAGAGTAAGAGAAACAGCTTGATCCAGAGCACAGGAGGTGCACCAAGTTTAAAAAAAATAAACCTTTTTTAACTTAAACTATCAATCATGTAAAGGTACACCGGTAAGGTCCAAGAAAACACACATGGAACTGGAACAGATCCTTCTGCTTTCAGCTTACTCAGTCCATACCTTACTGGAGTGGCGCAGCTGGTGCGCCTGAGCAGTGGAAGTGGATGTTCTGCCACTTGCTGTCTCTGCGATGCCAGACACGAGTCTCCTCTGACTGGCTGGACCGCGGCCGACCCTGGCCGTCAACAAACTGAGTCAGGCGGATGTAGGCGATGCAGGCTGCATCCTCGCCGATCAGGTGCACATGGGGGTTCAGGATGGTGGTGTGGATCGGCTTGCTGTTCTTAGCCAAAACTGAAAGGATGATGAGGACAACGTCATCAAATACGATGGCACAACTACAATAATGACAGGACCAGTGTTACTACTGATGATTCAATTTAGTTATATCAATGGAAATTAATTCACAATACCAGGAAACAGGAAAAAAGTAGGTAAACATACAGAAGCATATATTGTGTTACCAGTAAACACTTATCCAAGTGTAAATGTAAGCGCTGCCGTGGAGTATTCGTCTGTATTAATCTCGGTTTGTGATTTAGGCAAATATGCTTTTCATCAAATGTATCTATTAATCTTACGGTTCTCAAAGTAGAATCTGTGAAAATCCATTCCCTCTACCAGGTTGCCCAGGGCCTCCGGCTCAAATGAAGTCAGTCCAGGGTCGCAGATCTTACTGAAGAGCACACATGAGCGCATTTTAAAGATGCCAAACACTAACTTTAAACCACAGAAACGACATAGTACATACAAAAAGAGACTCACGCGTATGCCTCAAAGTCTCCGTTGTTGATGGCCTCTATCAGCTGTTCGGTTATCTTGATAATTTCTTGCTTGCGTGCTGCAGTGAACATGTACG